TTGTGCTTCAATTCCCTTCACATCCACTTCAACATACTTCTGCAGGTGGGTACTGGGAAAGATATTACACCCTCTTTGTCTTCATTCAGCTTTCCAGATCCAATGACTTTAAGTCATGGAGAATTTGTTTCCTTAACATCTGAAGTGTGCTTCTCCCTTACTAGTCATCTACGTTCATAAAGCCTTTCACTGGATCTTACTTAGACTCTTGCAACTAACTCCTAACATTACTGTCATCAACAGTCAATTAAAAGACAGTATCTATACTATATGCAAAGAATTAAACAAAATTGAATATAGGAGGCAAACATAATTTATTCTCTGGTTTCTCTCTAAGGTGCCTACAAAAATAGAAAAACTAAATTGTTTTCACATGAAACAACTAGAGAAATAAGATAGAGATTCCATACACAAGTTGTAATCATCCCTTGCATTAACATGCTACTTGTATCATGTAGTTAGTGAATGCAGAAATTCAAGTTATATTACAAATGGTGATTTATTTTTACTGAATTATTTACATTTTAAAGTTTAAAGGTTTTAAAGAAGTGTTTTTGGCCTGAATTGCTTTGACACTCTAATGGCTCAATTTTTCTTTGTTTATAAACCAGTATTCTACATCTGCTCAATTCTTGATTCCGAGCAGCCCATATTTTAGGTATTCCCATTGATGACATTAAGCAGATATGCTACCTATATCCGTTTACTTTGTTCTTTGTAGATAGAATATAAATGATGCTTCTTTAAAGTCATAGTTAACTGCATGCCACTAAAGGCAAAAACTAATTCTTTTAGTCCTGTTCCTTTTTCTTTTCAGTGTAAATCCAAATTATGCTCTAGGCAATTTTAAAAGATCAACTCTTAAGAGTAGACGGAGGTTGAGTGTCTGCACACAAGTCCAGAAAACAGTCCTCCATCAGCTGCTGAAGGTCAGCTCAGGCGGCCTAGCGGCTGGAGAGCCCAGCGTGGAACAATGGCAGGAAAATGGAGCTCCCTTCATTCCTTAATTCACATGCAAGTGAGGTGCCAATCAAGTGCTGACAAGCATGGCAAAACCAAAATCAAAAGTGGTAGAGGTACACTTTCAAAAGGAGCAGTTTTCACACATTTCTAAGAGCTGTTTTTAATGGTGGTTGTGAACATACCACTAATGATGTGGAAAAGGAAATAAAAAGCAATAAGAAAAAATACTAATTTTATATCAACTGAGAGGATGCAATAAGCTAATGAAATACATTTACTAAAATTATTTAATGTGTCCTATAAAAATATCAATGATTTCACTTTGACTAAGAAAGAAATCTGAGTGCAAACTGATGTATAGAGCACTGCAGACAGGGAAGGTGAGTTAAAATTTGAAACTGGGCACAGACAAGGAAGCTGACTCATTTCCAAATAAAAGAAAAATTTAAGCTGGCCTGATTTTGTCAAACTAACCATTATTTACAAAGACAAGAGCAAAACACTCTGAAATGACTGAGTATGGAAGCAATGCAATCACTTCACAAAGCGGCTGGTGAAAGGGATGACAAAGCTTAAAAACTAGCAGTTTTTTAATGACACTTTATTTCTAACAAATGAATTTAAATTTTCAAAAACTAATATAAGGCAAATGTAAGCTGCATTAGTTGTAGATGTTTTTCTAAAAGAATTTGGTAAACTGTTGATTATGACTATTATTTCTATCTATGACATATAAAACAAAATTTATTAGAAATCGAAGGCTTTGACAATGAGGATTTAATAAGTAACTTTGTATGTTATTGCTGTTTATTAGTGTTATTTTAAATACACAGAAAAAATAACATATGAGAGACATGTTATTTTTAAAATTATCAATTCATAAAATAAATAGTTCTTCGCTTTTACTTTAAAGACTGAATGCTAGGATTGCTACCAGAGCTGTCTTATCAATATCTATTTTTACTAGGATTGCAGAAGGTTTAGAGAATTAGAAACTTGAGATGTTACCATATTATGGGAATAAAGGAAGCAAAAAGCATATTTTCAGAATTAGTTTTTTCATTGTTACTATTTACTACATAAAATGGACACTGGTTTTGAAAACGAATCTCTTAACTACCTCCTGGATTCTTCAGGTGAATTCTGCACTTCAAGATAAGGTATAATGATAAATTACGTTCTCAGTTTTTAAAAACAACAATTAGCAAAATAGGAAAGCTCTACAACTATTTTGTACTTTATATTTAAAAGTGATTTTTCAGATATCTATTAGTAGTACCTTTAATTTTTTTTGTACCTTTAATTTTAAAACTCTATTACACAGAATTTAATTTAATAAATGACAAGATATATTTTAGCACAGGTCCTGACTAGTAACTATTATTCAAACAATAAGCCCTGAAAGCAATTACATGTAATGTTAAAACTGTACTAGCCACACAGTTCATATTTAAAAGAACTTTTCTTAAAATTCATGATCCAAGAAAGAAAGTGAACTTGAATGAGGATGGTAGGAAAACAGTCTCCATGCATTCAAACGTGATCCTACAAACTAGGGCCATTTCATCCATAAGGGGTGTGTGTCCATGTGTATATGTATGTGTGTATAGAGTCTTGAATCAGGGATACAATTTTATGATAATTTTTTTACAAATTTAACTTTTCTTGAATTCCAACGGTTTTGTTTTATTTTTTAAATGTTCTTCTTGAACCAAAAACTTAACCCTTACTTTAGGTTTTTCCCATTTACTTTTTTTTTAAATTTATTTTTAATTTTTTCATTCTTGTTAAACCATTTCCTTTTATTCCTTTATGTTGGAAAATACTGAGAGGCTGAATATTTGTCAACATTTTAAACACCCTGAGTTTTCTTCCAAGAATAACAGGGAGACCAGGAAAGAATGTGATTCAGCTTTAGGCAAAAACAAAAGGTTTAAACATATTTCAATTTTTTGTGTAATATCAATGCTATCTTTCAAAAGTTCTTGAAATTAAGTAGAAACATAATGGCCTTAAATGTATTAATCAAGCTTTGTCAAAAATTTATGTAAAACTAAGTTATTTGTTTAGAGGAATTCTTTTCAGTAAGTTACAAACTACTTTCTCTTTAGCTTCCACCATCTATACACCTTCTTTGCATACCCCTATCAAAGTTACTTGACAAAAAGTAGCAAATATCTGAGGCTGAGATAATCGCCATTAATATTTTAAAACCTAAACAAGGTACATTACATTAAATAGACTTCTCAGGCCTGGTGTTGCCTGACAGATATGCGATGTGCCAGTGGTTATATTATATTCCTCCTCCCATGCACGCACCTCCTGCAGAGATAGCAGACTACAGAAGCTGACCCTTACTGAGACCATCTTGTCTCTCTGACAAAGCTCCTTTTTAACTTCTTACTTACTGGTTACTTCCTGTGATGGAGAAAAACTTTAGCTCAGCTTGTGATAATTTCACAGGCCCTGAGGACCCTGACCCTAATAGCCTCAAGGTCAGAAGTCAAGTCTTGTTCTGAAACATCTGTGTGCTTTATATTAAAGTGGAACAAAAGTGCAGAAATATCCACCAGTGTGTGACAAGAAGGACAGGCAAAATAAGACTGACACACAGGTCATCTGTTACTCTGGCATCTTAAATTCGTTTTAAAAACTGTCCAAAATTCACTTAAATTCCAAATCTGATGTACAGATTTGATGTTAATTGTCTTAAGGTAAAATCAGGAAAATGTATGTTTCATGGGAATTTTAAATTTGAACAGTATTGCAGGCCTTCAGACATATTCGAAGCTACTCTATAAAGTCATGAAATGTCATGTCTTATGTAATATAATGACTTACAGGAAGAAAACATAAGGTACATATATATCAGCTATAAATGCATTTATATATATCTGAATGGTTAAAAGAACTATTTGAAAACCAACATTCACATTTTAAAAAGAACATCATGACTCGTATGTTAGAGAGTGATCCTAAGATACCCATTTTGTAGTAAACAAATTCTGCAGAATTAAAAGCACTTGAATAAAATTTCTAAACATGAAATCAATTTAAGAAATGAATGATTTAAGTTATTTATAGATTTTAAGAGAGCACAGTATTTGTAAATTTAGGTCAGCTAAAGTATTCTCAGGTGTCACCACTATTTTTATATCTAAGTCATGTCGGTAAGCAGTAAGGCGTGGGGAAGTTTTGAAAAGACCATGGAAATATAATTTCCAAGATGAAGAGCAATACATGGCAAAGTTTAGAAACATTAAAAATTAGACAACCAATGCTATGCTGGCTTTTAATGTCCACTTTTAGGCTATATGGATTTAAAATTATCAAATGCACTTTATCAGACAAATCATTTTATTACAGCAATGGTACTTTCCTGTGACATAAGGGGTAATGAACATGCAGCACATTTTTAGGACTGATATACTTCATTAATCATTCATACCTGCACAAAGTGTGATCATTGTAATAATGTGGTAGAAGAGACACCAAATTCAGAAATCTTGATAATTTTTCTATTATGTACATATATCTTAACTGCAAGAATTGGATTATTTTGAAACGCAGAGATTTTTATGACCAAGCGTGGAGTTGCACTTAACAGTAGATTAACGGAATCTTTCTGATAGTTTTAATACTAATTATATGGATTTTGATCAAGTACTAATTTATAGAGATAGTATAGTCAGTTAAAGAGTCTCTAGACATTTTCAACACTTTACAGATAACAGTGCTTCAGTGATGTACATGTAAACAGGAATCACAAATATAAAATGTATGGAAAGTGGAGCTATAATGTAGAAATTAAAAAGTGAAATGTAAATAAGAAACAGGCAAAAAGTTGTCTGATTGGCACTGAAAAGCTCTGCACAATAAAAGTACACTTCTCAACAACATGAAATTCATTTTGCCAAATACTTAATCTTCATCCTTTATAAAACAATCTCAAGTAACCATACCAAGAAAATGGGAGTGAAGGCGATAAATCTGTAAGGAGTCTGGAAATTAAAAACAAGAGTTAACTGTGCACTTACCAGTTCAACAAAAGCAAGTCCTCCATAGCTGTGAGCAACAAAAAATACCTTCTCAGCTGCAGACTGAGCTATGAAATGGTCCCACACATAGACTGCATGTTCTTCAGGAGAGCCATTTTCCTATAAGTAAAACAAACATCATGTATTACATACTGCATCTAATTATTATCATAGTAATCAAAAATTAAATTATATGCTTGCTTATGCAGCATAAGAAATATGATAGTGATAGCTCATTCCAAACAATAACAATACAAAAGAACAACAATGGAAATTCAAATTAGGGAATAAATTAGTACTAAGCTATTAGTAAATTACTGCTAAACTTAAGTGCTACTCTAAGCTTCTGAAAGAAAATATTTAAAACAGGCACATTTTGAAGGGAAATGGCTCATTCTGGGTTTATCTGAGATATTAAAATAGATCTAACTATATTAGAATTGCACGACATAAAGTTATAGTGGTCTTTTAAGGCAGTGTAACACTAAGAAATATCAGATGCGTTTCTGTATTTATATCTGAAAATACTTAGAGCATACACACATCTAAATTATTTGATTTTTAAAATTTTAGGTACCTCTGTAAATTGAAAATAAGGAGAAAATTAACAACAAATATTTTCAACTGACATTGTTAAAAACACTTTTCCTGAAATAATTTTCCATATATATTTTATTTCCAGAACTGGGAGGATTTCTGAACGTAGAAACCTGGGACTTTTTATATTTCTCTGAAGTTTCTGGTGTGCTTTAGTCACTCAGTCCTGTCTTGACTCTGTGACCCCATGGACTGTAGCATGTTCCTTTGTCCGTGGGGATTATCCAGGCAAGAATGCTGGAGTGGGTTGCCATGCCATCATCCAGGGGGTCTTCCCAACCCAAGGATTGAACCTGGGTCTCCTGCATGGCAGGCAGGTTCTTTACCATCTGAGCCACCAGGCAAATCCAATAAATATATGAATGTTGCTTTAATTTCAAAAGTTCTACAATAACTTCACTTTATTGTGTTTACTTCTATAGCAAACACAACTTGTGGTTAAACCTAAAATTCAGATAATGTGGTAAACAAAGAGCTAAAAAAATACAAACCAATAGAACTAAGACATCATGAAAATATTGTGTAAGAAAAATTCTTGGGATGCTTTAACACCAAAGACTGATTCCCTAAGAATGTCATAATACTAGATGATGAACACATTGATTCACCTTTCCATCTCAGAAATTTAAAAATATTATATTAGGGTCCCAATGAATGCTTTCACTTGCTCCATAAAAGCTATTATTCCCCATGTCTATCTCCACCCTAGATTTCTCTCCAGAGCTCCAGACCCAAGGTTATTTCCTTATGAATGCCCCACAGATACTTCAAGCTCAACCAATTCAACACTTTTTTAAAAATATCCTCTCCAAACCTGTGTCACTATCTTTGCTCCCCACCTCCTGCTGAAATCTGAGCATCATCTTCTATTTCTCTCTCTCAAACTCCACATAAAATCAGTAATTAAAAACCTTTTGATTCTGTCCCCAACCTTCTCTTAAAGCCACACTTCTCTCCATTCTTATTTCCTCTGGCTGAGCCCAAGCTCATCCTTTCACAAATGGATGACTACAACAATCGCCAGTCCAGCTTCCCTGCCTCTAGGATTATCCTAGAGGGTATTACCCGTTTAAACACCCTCTCCTAACTGTAGTGAGAACAGCCTTTCAAAAGATGCTAATACAGACATGTCGCCATTTGCTCACTCATTGCTTAGAATTCTCCGAAGTCTTTTCATTATCCTCAGGACCAAGTTCAAACTCAGAATGACACTAAGGCCTTACAGGATATGGCTTCTGCCTCGAAATCTATGTGCAAAAAATGATGATCTAAAAGATACCCTTTCTCCCCACGAGAGAATAGAAAGAACACTCTCTGTGTTCCAACTGTAGGGAACGTCCTGTAATATCCTAATTGTGCCATACCTTTCTTATTTCTGGGCTGCTTTTGTTATTATTGTTTGGAAAGTGACCCATATGCTCTGCCTTTGCTTAACCCATAACCTTCACCTGCATAATTCCTATGTGTCTTCAGAACTCAAGCTAACATAATTGCATCTGGCCCCATCACTTCCTGGCAAACAGAAGGGGAAAGGGTGGAAACAGGGACAAATTTCTTCTTCTTGGGCTCTAAAATCACTGTGGATGGTGACTGCAGTCATGAAATTAGAATACAAATGCTTCTTGGCAGGAAAGCTATAACAAACCTAGACAGTGTGTTAAAAAGCAAAGACACTGCCTTGCTGACAAAGGTCCACAGAGTTAAGGCTATGGTCTTCCAGTAGTCACATATAGTTGTGAGAGCTGGACAATAAAGAAGTCAGAGCGCTGAAGAACAGATGCTTTTGAACTGTGGTGCTCGAGAGTCCCGTGGACAGCAAGGAGATCAAACCAGTCAACCTTAAAGGAAATTAACCCTGAATACTCATTGGAAAGACGGATGCTGAAGCTGAAGCTCCAATATTTTGGCCACCTGATGCAACGAGCCAATTCATTGGAAAAGATCCTGAAGCTGGGAAAGATTGAAAGCAGGAGAAGAGGGTAACAGATGATGAGATGGTTGGATGGCATTTCCGATATGATGGACATGAACTTGGGAAGACTCTGGGAGACGGTGAGGGACAGGGAGGCCAGGAGTGCTGCACTCCATGGGGTGAGCTGGACACAACTTGGTGACTCAACAACAACAACAACTGGAAGGTCCTTGTAGGCACTTCTGGCCTTAAAACAAAGCAAAAACAATGCCCAGCTGTGGGCTTAACTGGTGATGGAAGTAAAGTCCAATGCTGTAAAGAACAATATCACACAGGAACCTGGAATGTTAGGTCCATGAATCAAGGTAAATGGAAAGTGGTCAAATAGGAGGTGGCAAGAGTGAACACTGACATTTTAGGAATCAGTGAAATAAAATGGTCAGGAATGGGTGAATTTAACTCAGATTACCATTATATCTACTACTGTGGGCAAGAATCCCTTAGAAGAAATGGAGAAGCTCTCATAGTCAATAAGAGTCCAAAATGCAGTACTTGGGTGCAATCTCAAAAATGACAGCATGATCTCTATTCGTTTCTAAGGCAAGCCATTCAATATCACAGTCATCCAAGTCTATGCCCTGACCAGCAATGCTGAAGAAGCTGAAGTTGAATGGGTCTATGAAGACCTACAAGACCTTCTAGAACTAACACTCAAAAAAGATGTCCTTTTCATTTTAGGGGACTGGAATGCAAAAGCAGGAAATTAAGAAACACCTGGAGTAACAGGCAAATTTGGCCTTGGAGTACAGAATGAAGCAGGGCAAAGGCTAATAGAGTTCTGCCAAGAGAACGCACTGGTCACAGCAAACACCCTCTTCCAACAACACAAGAGAAGACTCTACACATGGACATCACCAGATGGTCAATACCAAAATCAGATTGATTATATTCTTGCTGCCAAAGATGGAGAAGCTCTATACAGTCAGCAAAAACAAGACCG